AAAGTGAACACTAGCAAAATGAAACCTGTCCAAACTGAACACTAGTGCAATGAAGCCTGTCTAAACTGAACACTAGTACAGCCATACCTGTCCAAACTGAACACTAGTACAGTTAAACATGTCTAAAATGAACACTAGTAGAAATCTATGAAGAAACACTCATACAATGAGACCTGTCTGATCTTCACACTATTACAGGAAAACCTGTTTAAATTGAACACTAGTAAAATAAAACCTGTCTAAACTGAACACTAGTATAATGAAACCTGTTTAAACTGAACACTAGTACAGTTAAAAATGTCTAAAATGAACACTAGTAGAAATTTATGAAGAAACTATTAGCCTAAACTGAAAGATCAATGTGTAATTACACTAACCTTCTTTTTCAGATGGATCTTCTTCAGTTTTTTTGCTCTGTACTGGTAAAAATTCTTCTGCATCATATCCCAGTGTTTTCAGGGCTTTATTGGCACACCTCCTTTCTTTCTCACTTCCAGTCAACAATACAGTTTGAATAAATTCTAAAGATTGACTGATAATCTGCAAAAGAATTAACACAGTTTTGAATAAAATTATTGACTTAATTGTGGTTTGAAAACTTCAGGTATCAATCAATCAGCTAGCATTTAACAGAAGTAAAGTTGAACTCTCACCTTTGCCTTGTTATCAGCATTCACTGACAGTTTCTCAAGTCCTTCAATAAGTTCATGAGTTGAAAATTCATTTGACTGACCAAGAACTCTTTCTGCCAATTTAGACTTCAAAATATCTATAATACCTAAATAAGAAAATTTTAAAAGTTGAAAATTAATTATATATATATTATATATTATATATAAGGTTCATCCTATTTATAGGTTGATGAGGAATGTATGGCTTTTCAAATAAAACAACAATGCAGTAAATTTCCACCTTTAATTTCTGTATTACGCAGATTGATGTTTTGTGCTTTTATAATTAATCTTAATGAAATTGAAATTAATACCAAATATAAATGGTACCGTGGGGGAGCCACATGTATAAGAATGTGTGACAATGATGCACCAACAATCACATAAAAGCAAAGTTAATTGATATAAGTGGGAGTGAATGACCTACACAAAAAATTTCAAAAAGGCATAAACGTTTTCTTATGAAAATTTATAAAACATTAACCCAGGAAAACTCTTGGACTACATTCAAATGTGCAGAAAGAGTATTCATTGGCTAGAGAAGACCTTTGGTAACGACAAGTATTTTTTTCAACCACGATCAAATAAAGTGCCACAGGTATCACATTAAAATGTATTCATCGACTTTAATCTAATCATTCACAGATCTTTATTTTTGATATTACAACTTGTAAATCAAACTTTCAAATTGTAAAAAATATTTATTTTTAGGTAGATTTAATTATAGAATTCTTCACAGGTGATATTTAGCCACTAGGGCATTGTCATCATTTCAAGTTGTTTTCAACCATTAATTAAATTTAAAAAAAATATAAACATTGTATATATGAAACATAACTGCCTATAATCATAGTTAATTTTTAGTAACTGTGCTATAATGAAACGTCCTGTATACCATAACTTTTATTACAATATAAAAAAATTCCAAAATTGATAGATTTATACAAAAATAATTTAAAAATGTACAAGCTAATTGTGAGGTTAGAAGCAAACATCATTGTGTATGACTGTAAAAGGGTTAATTATTTACTGGGTTTCAATTTTGCTTATTTTGCTGTCTGGAAAATGCGCTAAATTAAAACCCAGTGAATATGTAAAATTTAGCATAGAACACATTATCTAAATGATAAAACCGTGAATTTAAAACTCACTGAATATGCCTGAAATGCTAAATCAGCCAGCTTTAAACACAAAATTAATCATTTTACAGTAAATTGCAAAGTTTAATTGCTATATGACAAATGTACTAGTATTTATGCCTGTAATAGCAAACCATGTTTCTACTGCAATATACATTAAACAATTTCATCTGAAGAAGTATTAAATGGCATTGGTCACTACATAGCTGTATGTTTTTGAATACATTCTAATTTTGTGTAAATACACACGGATAAATGTTTCCATGGGTGGTATATAGGACAATACGAATGGATGTAGTCACAATGACCATTGAAGAATATATGATGCTTTAGTACCAATGTTGAACCTATTACGCTAACACTTACCTTTTACAATGAAATAACTTTTTATATTTATTATTTTTATACAGTTACAATAATGTTATATTATCTCTAAGAATTTGAGTGCTAACATTTTTTTTATTCAAATCAAGTCATACTCTAAATACTTTATTTTAGCTGGAATTAATATTCGCTGAAAAAACTTTGTGGGTGTTTTGTATGGAATTAATTTTCACTGATTTTTGACCTGTCAGATGTACAATATAGAATAAAAGATATATTCGCTGGATTTTATTTTCACTGAATCATTCCTTCAGGGAAAGTAGTGAAAATTAATTCCAAGCGAAATTAAAGTATTTTAAAGCAATTAACCCACCTTCGGTATCAAATACCAAGTCAGTTTCCGTTTCTGGATCAATGATATAAGACAGAATCAACAGAGACATTATACGTCTTACTTCATCGGGAGATCCTTTGTAAATGTCCAGCCATTTTAATGCATTCCTTTCTGGCTCTCGATAATAGGCTTTGTTTTCAGAAACTTTGCACAGATTTTGTAGACATCCTAATGCTGCAGACAATGCCAGCTGCTTTCTCTTCTGCACTGTAGGATCCATAATTGAAACTTTGAATATCTGTACTGGAGAAACTGTATTCAGCTTCTGCAAATTTAATCTTTAGAAATAATTTCAGTTAAAATGTTGCAGTCATTTCGCACATGTTTTGGATACACAGCCTATGGGGTCCATATCACATGTTTTGGATACACAGCCTATGGGGTCT